TAAAAGACAAGAGCAAATGTATGTCTAAGTGCAAAAAAAGTAAAAGTAGTTCTTTACAGTAATGATAGTACAAAAAAACTTTATCTCATTAGTGGACCTAAAATAGGTCATTAGTATTTTTGTTTAATTTTTCTATTAAAAATTTTATTTACTAATTCCCTGGTAGATGATTGGTATGTTTAGTCAACCTGACTAACTATGTCTGAGTACCTAATTGAATTCTTATGGACATATTTCTAATTTTTTATGGATTATATATTTAGAATTATTTTCTTTAGAATTCGTCGAAGTACTTTGGTAACAGAAAAATTGCCAAAAACAAAGAACATCTTAAAAAGCCGCCGAGCCATAAAGTTAGAAAATAGGAGGCACATTCACTATGCCTATTTTACTATACATCCTTTTAGTCATTTTCGGTAAGAAAATAAATAAGAAACTATTTTTTTTATTAAAAAAGTAAATGCAAATATTTATTTTGGATTTAGGGTAGGGTGGGGCATAAAGGTCCAATTTGACTTTCAGACAGTGATTATATTGTCTAAAGTAAATGAACTACATGACATCACATAACATGTATCAAACAAACAACTATCGAATTACATTCAGTAAATTTCCAGTTTCATCCTAATTATAGAAATATATTTGTTTACTATTTTTCTAAAATTTGTCATCTGTCCCTTTTTGCCCCATGGGCGTGGTAATAAGGGACAAAAAGGAGGCAAGGAGACCCAACGCCATTTTTTATTTTAAATAGATATGTGGATATACAGAGATATATGGGAAATTTTTTTACAGAGGTTTCATTGTACATAACCTTGATCTCGTATTTCAAAAAACACATTCATAAGCAGAGATCAAATATCTATTAATATAATTTAACATTTTATTTACTATTTTTCATTATTTAAACTTTAAACAATCTAAAGGTTTAGTTGGTTCTTTTTACTCCAGCCACATGTAAGCTTTTATAAAGGTTGTATCAAAAATAGGAACTCAAAACCACAGAAACTCCAAAAAAATCATACTTTTGGTATGAATATTGATACAATTCCGTTTATCTCCTGAATAAGATGATGACTAGTTACACATCTTTTACCCTCTACTTTAAAATATCATCACTAAAAAATTCCAATGATTGTGAACCTTTTTACCCGAGGACTTTAAGCCCTACTTTACCCTATCACTATTTTTTTTTATTTTTCAGTTTATCATAATATTTCGTTTATTAATATAATAGATTTTTCTCGAATTTTCAAATTCATATGTATCTTCTAACACTATTTTTTATTTTTCAGGTTATACTGGCAGTGGTTATTAATATGCTTGATAATTCTGAAGCTTGCAATCGCACCATTTGTCATAACTTTTTTGCCCAAGTCAAATTATGGAGTATTTTTCAATTTTCCAATGTTTTTAGTTTTTGTGATCGATTTAATAGGATTGTTGGATATTTGTCTGTCTTTTGTAACCGGTTATTTAGATCGAGACTCCTTGGAAATCATTTTAGAGTCAAACCTCATTGTCAAAAAATACCTCAAGACCCGCTTCATTTTCGACCTCCTGGCATCGTTTCCTGCAGAATTTGTTCTTCACATACCAGAACCCCAAGTGAAGAGGACAGCTTTTTGTTTACTCCATTCATATTTTTTATTTTCTGCAAAATTTTTCACTTGTGTACCCTTTTGTCCTATTTGCACGGAAGTAAAGAATTAAAATCGAGTTTGACTTATTTGTCGAAACTCATATTTCGAATCCTGGTCATCGTCATCGTAATACATTGGCTCACTTGTTTACTTCTGATGATGACCAGATTCCGTTATGGCGATAATGTGGATAATATTCCCAGATCTAACTGGATTTATCAAATTACATTTGACCAAATGGACACTACAACTCGATATATTTTAAGTTCGTATGTTGTCATGCGCACAATTTTAGGGTTCCAACATGATGATAAGGTTAAAATATTTTTCTTGGACCACTGTGCATTCTGTATGGCGATGGCCTTGTTTGGTTATTGTTTAAAAATTGCAATTACTATGCAATTTATAATTTTAATAAGGAGCAAGAACGCTTCTCATCTGAGATACCAGAATATACTGCAACAATTCGAAGACTTTTTGATGTACAAACAAATGGCGTTTGGAACAAGTAAAAGGTTGATGGATTATTACGAGTATCGTTTCCAGAAATATTTCTATAAAGAAGGTACAGTTTTAGACTCTTTATCGTCGCATTTGCAACATGAAATATTGGTGACCAATTGCAAAAGACTGGTTGAAAATGTTCCGTTTTTCACTAATTTTCCTCCAAATCTTATTATGAACATCGTCAAGCTGTTGGATGCCGAAATTTATCTACCCAAGGTAATAATTGATAAATGTTCAAGATTGTTGTTAAAATTGTTTGTTCAACCGATATATCTATTACCATTGTTTATTTTCAGGATTTTATTATTAAAGCAGGAGAACCTGGAAACTGCATGTACTTCATAAATTGCGGAACAGTAGCTATTTATGGAGCAAGTTTAATTGAAAAAAATCATTTGTACGATGGAGATTATTTTGGAGAAGTATCTCTAGTCACAGGAGAAGTTAGAATAGCTTCTGTGGTTGCAATAGAAACATGTGAACTTTATACATTGTCCAGACAACATTTTATGGAAGTTATGGGCCCTTATCCACATTTATTTGAGAAAATAAAGGACACTGCACTTATTCGGGCTAATATTAAAATGGCTGTCAAGAAATGGCTTAGTTTTAGAAAATCGGATACTTGATGATATAATGACTCATAAAATGTACTTGTTTTTACTACAGTGCTGATTTTTAATTAAATTAAATCTTTGGTCTTTATAAATTAGTTTACTTGCAAATATAGATTACTATAGGTATTGAGTCTTAGATAATTGTAAAATTTCATTTGTCGAAATAAATTTATGGCAAATTGACTATCGATCGAATTAAAAAAACAAAAATAATTCAATATTGGCATATTACAAAATCAATATACATTTGTTTAATATTACTTACAATTTGTGTTATTGTAAAAAACAATTTCCTTTTACAAATATGTCTAATACAAATGTATTTCATATACACAATTGTTCGATTTTTAATAGAAGAGATGCATTAGATCGTGTTATTCCTGGAAATGGATTAATACCACAGTTACGTAGAAGGTAATAATTATAGGAAATATTTATATTAAAAAATGATATTTTTTGCAGGTTAAAAATTTTATTTTCTCAATTCCCATTTCAACAAACTATTATTAAGAATTTCTTTATAATTTATTCACTTATAATGGTAATATATAACACACTCCAATCCTTGCATTTTTTCTTGTATTATTTAACGATTTATTTATATATGGATAATTTTGCTTGTTTATTTTCTAATCAAAAAGCCTTACTTTGTTGGTTATTATTTTCTTGACGTTGTCAATAATTGTTTTTGAAGTAAAACTTCTTTAGGCGTGACTAGGGTGTTAATCCGTACAAATGCAACGGAAGTTTGTTACGGCAGATAAAAGTCAAGTGCCAATGATTCGTCATTCGCTCTCGATGAAATCATTTCTATACGGGTCGACTGTGATTGGCCGTCGTGTCGCGTGATAGTGTTCTTTGATTCTATGCGTATACGTAGTTTTTTTCTTGATTTTTAATTAGTATTACTTTTCTTGTTCGAGGCTCAACATGAATGATTAATTATTTAGGCAAAAACATATTTATTTAATATTTTTTCATTTAGATTTAGAAACTACTGTATGGTATGTCCGGATTTTCCTGCTTCAAGGGCAAATTTGAAAAGCGAAAGAGCTGTTCATATGGAAAGGAGAAGGCATTTGCATCAGTATTACTATGTTTTTCATCCTTTTAGCAAATTTAGGTAAAAATTTGATTTTGAAGAAGTCATAAATAAAGTGTCCTAGAGGCCAATTCTCGAATAAAATAGAAATGATTCGAATGAGTTGGTAATCACAAACTATCGAAAATGTATCTATTTGCTATCGGAATTTTTATACATAAAACCTAACCTACAAAACGTGCAAACGTCAAATATATTATATATTAATCGCTTTTTAAGGGTTTTTGGACACCTCTCTCTTTCTTGGTGATACTCGTGATATTTAAATTCCCCCTCCACCCTTCCCCACAAACATCACGTGTATTATTAGTACCTAGAAGAATCATATTTTTTTTAAAAATACTTTTGACAATTTTTGAATTTTTTTTAATTAAGGCAATAAATAAGTGAACGTGATATCTTGCTAGATCATCCTCCTTCGTGATTTTGTGTCAAAATACTTCCCACTTTAAGCGTCACGTGATCTATCTTTGATAACACATGCGTGAAGTTAGGTTGTTTGTGTAAACCACCAGATTGCACAGCAAATACATAAAATTTTTACAGTTTGGTACTACCAACTCATACAAATATAGACCCGCAACATAGCATTACCATACCATACCTATTTTATCCGAGAATTGATACTTTAGTTTTGTGGATGATATTGAATAAAACTTTATATGAATATGGTTATGTAATATTTAATTATAATTGCTGATATAAAAATTGTGTTTTACAGGATGCTTTTCGAAGGAATCATGATACTTTTGTTGTCACTTCAAATTCTTATTGTGCCATATGTTATTTCTTTTTACCCAAAACATGAACATTCCTTGGTTAATAATTTTGCTATGGTAAATATATTCTTACATTGATTAATATATATTATATGCAATATTTAGCGATTGTGTGATTGATGATTCGACACTGTCTCATAAATTTTTGATTCTAAATTGAATTTTTTTTTTCTAGCTCCTGTGCTTCTTTGTAGATATGGCTTCAATAATAGACATAATGTGCTCCCTTAACACTGGTTATTTTTGTACCTCCAACAAAGAGATAGTACTTGATCGCAAAAGAATCATTATTAATTACTTTAAAGGATACCTAATATTCAACATAGTCTCGAGTGCACCATTGGAACTGCTCTTCCATTTATCATACGAGACAAGCCATTCCTTAAACTCGTTCATAATATTTGGTCTCCTGAAGTTTTTCCATATCATAACTCTAGTTACCTACATGAAAAATTTTCAAGTGTGTTACTACACATCATCTTACACCTCTCGTTTCTTGAGACAATGTTTTGCCTTATTTGTGATCCTCCACTGGTTGGCATGTTTGAAATTCATGATCACCCGTTGGACTCATGGTGATGTCGAAGATTTGATACCAACTTTTGCTTGGGTAAAACAAATGAACTTTTTGCCCAAGTTTCCAAATGATCGTTACATCACGTGCTTTTTTAACATCATGAGTGCCAGTACGACTTATAACTATGGAATGTCTCTATCTTTTTCTTCCGAAGACATGATCATGACAATGGTATTATATCTTTTTGGATCAATCCTGAAAATCCTGGTAGTTGCACAAATTTTGCTTCTAGTTAGAAATACGAATGCTTCTAAATTGAAGTACCAAACACTGCTCCAGCAATTGAATGAGTTTATACGCCACAAGCAACTTCCTCAGGTGATCAGGAATAGATTGTTGGATTATTATGAGTTTAAATTTCAGAAGAATTTTTATAAAGAAGACGCTATATTGGATACTTTATCTACGCAACTCAGACAAGAGATTATAGTGTACAGTTGCCGAAGATTGGTGACCAGTGTTCCGTTTTTCGAAAAAATTCCAAATACTTTGCTGGTTCGTATTGTGACTTGTCTGCAGTCTGAGATCTACTTAGCACAAGTAAGTAGCTTTACACAACAATTATTAACTACCAGTAGGAGAAGTTTGTTTTCATAAAAAATTCCGATTCGCTAATTTTGTGTTTTCTCGACGTTTCAAGCCATTCTGAATCGAATGAGATCAAAATTGGAAAAGGTATGTGTGCGTGTGTGAAAGGATTTTTTGCGGTAAATCGACATTTTCTCAAAAATGGCTGGACCGATTTTAAAAATTTAAAATCCATTCGGTGTATCTCGATGAGGACTAACGTTTTTCAGTTTTGTGCGACGATTGGGCGAGCCGTTTCTTTTCAATTCGCAGAAAAGTGAAAAAAATTTAGTCGACCAGCCAGCAATTCTGAATCGATTTCAAAAATTCAAAAACCGTTCGAAAGATATTGGATCGATCGAGCCATTTTCTTGTAATTTTTTTTTTTTGACGATTTTTATGATTTTTTTTTTTGACGATACTACCATAGTCTTATAGACCATACTAAAATATTACGGCCTTACGACAACTCGTTTAACTTTAAAAATTTGTCAAAGTTTGCAAAAATTAGTATCGTTTGTTTGGCATTTGTCAAAATTAGACCTTTAATCGACGTTTTCTCAAAAATGCCTGAACCGATTTCAGAAATTTAAGAGCCATTTTATGTATTTCAATGAGGCCTATCGTTTGTCAGATTTGTGCGACGATCTGCCAAGCAGTTTTTTGCAGTTTGAAAAAAAAGTGTTAAACTTTTCGTCTACATTTAAGTTTATACTACCAAATCAATTTAAAAAAAACAAAAACTGTTCGAAATATATTAGTTGGGAATGATACTGATTCTTTTTAGGTGAAAATCTATTCAACAGTTAAAAAAAAATTTGAGCCGCTTTTTATAGAACTTTTTTGGTGATATATATCATAGTCTTATAGAGCTTACTGAAATATTACGGTCTTACGACAAGTAGTTTAATTTTAAAAAAATATCAAAGTTTTAAAAAATGAGTAGTTTTTTTTTACATTTGTTAAAATTAAAATTAGACGATTTACTTGGTATAACGATAGAGTGCTTGGTCTTAATGAACATACTAAATCATTAAAGTACTACGGAAACTGGTTCAATTATAAAAATTATTGATTTTTGAAAATTTGCTTTTAGAAAATACTCCAATTAACGTGTTCGTTCGTTTTCAATGATGTGTAATAAATCTACTAGGAATACTTTTAATAACTCATAAATTAATTTATTTTTTATTGATTAAGTCGATTATTTACACATATGTAACTTGTTCATGTAACTTGCCTCAAGGCAGAATACCAATACCAACTAGTTTTTATTCTTTTTCTTTTATTTCCAGGATACAATAGTAGTAGAAGGCCAACCTGGTCACAGCATGTTCTTCATAGGATCAGGAACTGTAGCCATTTATGGACAAAATCGTGAAGTCGCACATTTGAGTGACGGTGCCCATTTTGGAGAAGTCGTTCTGGTCACTGAAAATAATTTAAGATCGGCAACTGTTGTAGCTATAGAAACTTGCGAACTTTACACTTTGGATCGAAAGGATTTTATGCAAGCTATTTCTCCTTATCCTGATATTATGGAAAGGATTCGTAGGGAGGCATATAAACGTTTGAATGTTTCTTTCTCCAAGTGGTCAACTGATGAAGTTGATGACAGTAGATCGGTTCTTGACGATGATGGTGATGATCTGGATGATACTAGACCAGAAAATTTGGTCTGATAAATGTAATTTCATATAATAAAGCAATGTGAGAGAATATTTCAAAACATTTATTTTTTGCATTCTTGATCAACCTAGTTGCGTGTATGCATGCGTAGGTGTGTATCATCTTCTTAAAAATCGTCCTTGTAATTTCTAAAGTGCTTTTCTATTCCAGTCTGGCCAGTGTAGAGTTTAATATCATTGTTTGATATTACGAGGCCTTGACTCTTGTTAATGACCCGACGATTGATGGGAAATTCATATGGGTACCAGAGGCGTAGATAAATATTTCATAAAAACACTAAACATTTACAAATTTCAAA